ATGTAAACTTCCTCATTTAAATCTCCATTTAAAAAAGCAGTCTTGACATCCATTTGATGCACAAATAACTTATGTATAGATGCCAAAGCAATAAGAATTCTAATAGATGTTATACGTGCGACAGGTGCATATGTATCAAAATAATCTATGCCTTCTTTTTGTCTAAACCCTTTGGCTACTAATCTAGCCTTAAAAGCTTGAACAGAACCATCAGAATGATATTTTCTTCTAAAAACCCATTTACATCCTATTGGCTTTGATCCTTGAGGTAAATCTACTAAAATCCAAGTACTATTTCCCATTATAGAATCCATTTCATCATTGACAGCTTCTTTCCAAAATGAAGCATCTCTAGATGACATTGCTTCTATAAAGTTTTTAGGATCATCATCTGGATTAAAACTTATAGGATGTTTATTTAAAACATTATTATTCCTATCACCTTCAACAAGAAAAATAATTTGTTCAGGAGAAATAAAATCTGAAGGTAAAGATTTCTCTTTTCTTACTCTAGTACTTCTTCTTGGCTCTGATATTTCTTTAGATATATTCGTTTCCTTAGCATGAAAATCAGAACTAGAAAATTTATTAGAGTTAAGCAGAATAGGAACATTTTCAACATTTTCAGAATCTACAGAAAATTTATTTTCAAAGAATTCAACATCTCTAGATTCAACAATAGTATTAGAAGATAAATCAAGTAGTCTATATGCTTTGCTATTTTCAGCATATCCGACAAAAACACTTTTAAAGGCTCTAGGTCCAAGTTTTGTTCTTTTAGGATCAGGAACTCTATAATAAGCCAAACACCCCCACACTTTAAAATATGACAGATTAGGTTTTCTACCTTTCCATAACTCATAAGGGCTTATATTTGACTTTTTAGAGGGAATCCTATTATGAATATAACATGCTGTGTACAAAGCTTCTCCCCATAAATTTAAAGGTAACTTAGCATTATTAAGCATACAATTTATCATTTCTTGTAAAGTTCTATTTTTTCTTTCGGCTAAACCATTCTGTTGGGGAGTATAAGGTGCTGTACATTGATGAATAATGCCATGTTCTTCACAAAAAGTATTAAAATTATCAGAAAAATATTCACCACCTCTATCAGAACGTAATACTTTAATTTTCCTTTCAAGTTGATTTTCAACTTCTGTTTTGTATTTTTTAAACATATCAAAAGCTTCATCTTTTGTTCTTAAAAGATAAACATACATATATCTACTGCAATCATCAACAAAAGTGATAAAGTATCTTTTTCCTCCTCTAGTTAACATACCATTCAATTCACATATATCAGAATGTATTAAATCTAAAACTTTAGAATCTTTGCGAGAAACACTTGGAAAAGATTTCTTTGTTAATTTAGACTTAGCACAAATTTCACATTTATCAAATTCACCATTAAAGTTAATGAAGTCTAACTTTCTCATATTTTTCAAATAGCGAAAATTTAAATGTGCTAAGCGATCATGCCATAAATATGAAGACTCAACAATATAAACAGAAGATATAACTTTATTATTAATACTTAGTTGATACATTCCATCACAAGAGTAGCCCTTTCCCACAAACATCCCGTTCTTAGACAGGATAACATTATTTGACTCAAAAGCAACCCGAAACCCTTTCTTACAAAGAAGATCAACAGAAACTAAGTTCTTTCTAACTTCGGGTACATACAGAACATTTATAAGAGTCAATTTCTTTCCAGAAGTAAAATCTATATCAACAGTTCATTTTCCAGCAACCTTTGCACAAGCATTATTTCCCATTTGCACTTTTGTAATTTCTGAAATTTCTTCAAATCCTTTGAACAAGGATTTGTCCTTGCAAACGTGGATTGTTGCTCCAGAATCAAGCCACCATCCAGACTTAACAGAAGCCATATTGATTTCAGAAATCATAGCGACCAGATTCTCTTCTATCATATTTGCAGAAGCCTTTGATTTTACATTATTATTTTTTCTGTGACGACATTCTTTAGCAAAATGTCCAGGCTTGCCGCAAATAAAACAGGACCCCTTTTTCTTCTGAAAATTCTTCTTTTTAAAGTGTTGTCCACTTTTCTTTACTTGAAGGTTCACATTTTTTACCGAAGATTCATTCTTCTCCACGGTGTGGACCTTACAATCACTTTGGACAGAATTTTTCGAATCACGTATGCGTGACTCCTCTTCAATTCTAAGATTCTTCTGAAGTTGTTCCAAAGAGATATCCTCAGTTTTATGCATTAGTTTCTTCGAATAATCTTTCCAAGTTGATGGTAGTTTTGCAATAATTGCAGCAACTTGAAAAGACTCTGGAAGAACTATTTTGAGAACATGAATCTTATTAACCAGAACCTCCAATTCATGAACTTGCTCTAGGACAGACTTGTCATCAACCATTTTATATTCTAGATATTTTGCAATTAAATACTTGTTTGTACCTTCCTCCTCGGCTTTGTATTTAAATTCCAGTGCGTTCCAGATCTCCCTTGCCGACTTTATCCTCGTGAAAAGATCATATAATCGGTCCGAAAGTGTGTTCAGAATGTGACCGCGACACAACACTTCATCTTCCTCCCGTTTTGCCTTCTGCTTTTTGATTTCTTCTATTTCCTCCTCAGTAGGTTGTTTGCCATCTGCACTTGGTTTTGGATCTTCTATGGGCTGCAGATTGGGGTTGAGAATGTAGGAGATCTTCAATGCTGTAAGAAGAAACATCATCTTGTCTTGCCAGCGAGAGAAATTGTTCCCGTCGAATCGGTCCAATTTGACCATGTCTTGATTCATCACCTTGATTGATTCCGACTCCATTGTAGCTTAAATATTTCTTTAAGATTGTTAGTTTTAATATTGAAGGAGACAGAAATTCTGAGGCGTGAAACACTTTCCTTAAAGAAATATTTGCCCCCACTTGATATTCAAAGTTGCTTCGGGTTAATGCAAATTTTCTTCCCAGGATACAACAGAAAATGAAAATTCCAGTAAGCAAATCTGGAATTTTCCTTAATTCGTTGTGAAACAAGTTTGTAATATTACAGAAGTTTTTGATAGAAAAGATTCAGAAAAAGAATTGTTGATAATATCTGAAAATATAAACTATTTATAGATTTTGAAAAGGTGCTTCCAACAGTCACAACTTTTCAAAACACCCATTGGATTAAACAGCCACTTTTCAACAGTCTTGCCTTTTCATAATTTTTAAAATTTAAAATAATATTAAAAATAAAATATATTCAATATATAATTATATATATAAAAAATAGAACATTTAAGCGGTAGCGGCAAGCGTGCAAAGTGCAAAGTGCTAAGTGCGTCTAATAATCGCATCAAAATCGCGCATTATTTGCGCTACCCGCACGCGGGTTTAGAAGCCTATACTTTGATCCATTATTCAAAGCCCACTAAGCATTCAATGCTTTTAAACCTCTAAAACAATGCTCAAAATTCCAATGTGGGACTATCTTGTTTTTTACAAACAAATACTAACAATATTATACTTAGTTTATATTATAAATTATTTAATCACTCAATTAATATGCGGTGAGAGACTACAATCTTAGGACGTCACGCTCCATCTTGGTTTTCGTTCCCAAGCCGCCTTGAAGATTTACTATTGTTATCTTGAATCATTACCGTTACTATCAACTAGAGTTTTGCTACAGGGGCCCAAAATATGGGACCAATAAAGGAGACAAGTGAGTTGTCCTCCTCCTATTGGATAATGAGTTGGCCATCATTAATGATGGTCAACTCATTATCCAATAGGAGGGGAACACCTCACTTGTCCCCTTTATTGGTCCCATATTTTGGGTCCTTAAAGAATTTTTCTATCAACTAGAGTTTTGCTACAGGGACCCAAAATATGGGACCAATAAAGGGGACAAGTGAGTTGTGCTTCTCCTATTGGATAATGAGTTGGCCATCATTAATAATGGTCAACTCATTATCCAATAGGAGGGGAACACCTCACTTTTCCCTTTTATTGGTCCCATATTTTGGGTCCTTAAAGAAACCTTGAACTTCAAACTGAAGCACACTCGTGTTCCCAACGAGAGCACCCGCTTTCCACATTGGGATGCGGCGGATGCCCAGTGTCTTGTAATAATACCATAAACGAAGTAAACTCCCCAACGCGCCCCCCCCCCCTCAAAAAAAAAAAAAAAAAATACTGAGCTAAACTAGGTCGTATGCCCATCACACTTGTGTTCACCGTGTGTCTTCACGCGCAAAAAATCATTGCCACTGAAGCTTAGCACCTCCACGTGCTGCTTCTAATTAGTCCGAGCACTGTTAACTTTTCCCGCACCGCTGAAAGTTTAGGATAACTAGATCTTTTATTGAGAAATTGAGCAATTTCATCCCTAGCCCTAGTCGTCCCTAATTCGATCCAGTCCTAACAAGGCACATGCTCCTATCCATGGCAGCACACTCTAATTTACCCAGTCAAGCCATAAATGGATATTACAAAGAATCAAACACGAAACTTAAGCGGATATGTTTCTCATCGCACCTATATAATTTCGATTTTTTTATAGTGAAAAACTTGTTGTGTTTGGATTCGAGGATTTGATTTCAAATTCCAGAATTGAATTCTGAAATTTGAAATCCAGAATTTCAAATTTAATTCTTTCGTTTGGGAAACATCCAAATTTGAATTCCAGAATACAATTTGAAATTCATGTTTGACAAACTTTAGAATTTTAATCTTAAAATTTTCAATTGGATTGTTTGCCAACTAGTAGAATTCTAATTTCTGAACTAAAATTGTAGCTCGAAGATAATTTAGAAATAAAATACTCAAATTACATAAGGTTTGCATCGAAATTGGTAGAAATAAATACCTCAAATAGTATATCACATATCCAACTAACTTGACATCTAGATAAAATACCTTAAAATCTCAAATACAGTAATGTCAGTAGTTGACCTAATAATCACCATAAAAATAATTGATATCATTCATCAATAAAACTTTGTAAACTCATCCACCACTAACCAAAACAATAAATAAAGTAGAACCTTTAAATATTGCATATAACATTCAACAAACTAGAGATCCAAAATATCCAACAAATACAAACCAACAAAAGTTAATATTTTGTCATTACACGGTGTCATACTTAAGTTGCTCTCGTACTAGTTTCTTTAAGACTTTTACATCTGATTCAAATGAGAGTTTCTTTCTAATGCTTATACACTTTCACTTTGTATTTCTTTTGTAGTTTTCTCCCATCGGTTCAGAAAGTCTTGCTTTATGAGTTCTTGAATCACCTGAAACAATAACAAGAAGATGAAATCAACTCCATTCTTAAAGACCGTGCAGACTTCCAACATCAGAAGAAGGCAATGGTGTTAGCTCCACAGAAGTTCGAGATGCTAATGAGATGTTAGTCTATAGAAGATACTATCAGTTCTCATTAAGCACAGTTTATGCAGCTCATATGTTTTAGTTTATGGAACTGATAAAGTATAATGTTAAAACTAATTTGTTAGATAAAATATGTGAAGATAATAGTTATGATCAATGAAGATTATAAACATGCAAATATCCAACCCAGTGGGCTTTTATCAACTCAACCCAAACTATATTTTGCCCAACCCCCATATGATGCCAATCCATTGTGATGCTATGCATCCAGCTCGACTGACACAGGTCATGGCTAAAATCATGTAAAAAAGAAGAAATCTGTAACGGCATACTATGACAACACCCAAAAACAACATTTTCAGTCACCACTTCCTAATATATATATAAGAAAAAGAACTAGTACATTTCTACAGTAAAAGCAAGGAAACGTTATACCACAAAGATACGAGTCATCAGTGTCTTAGGTTAAGGTGCAGACATACTAGAATTATACCACAATGATACGAGTCATCGACAATTCTACTACACTTATTGTTCCGATCAGATGCACCTTCCTTAGTGTGTGTGTGTGTGTGTGTGTTATGCAATACACCATAAACATAGGTAAGGGTAAACACAACAAAGGATCCAGTTGGTTGTTGCAAAGGGAGCACATAACCTGGTTACAAATATCATAACTACTTCTTAAGTAGTCGCTAAGAAAAGAAAGACGCTATGATTCAAATAGCAGCAATTAATCACGTATAAAAACTCATCTCATATTTGTAAATAGTCATATTCCAGTAAAAGATTGAGATACTACTTACATCCTCTGATGCTTCATGACAAATTACAACATGTATCTATATGATAATTAAATAAAGAAAGGAGAAAAACCTTTTCCTTCTAGTAGATCAGAAACATCCATATCTCCATTGATGTCTTGAGATGGTACTAAATTGGATGCAAGACTTGTTGTGCGCAGCGGAAATTTCGGCAGAGTTTCTGGTGTACAATAAGAGAGAAGATCGATAAGAATTCTTGTTTCTCAAAGGGAACAAGAATCTGAAGCCTAATATCCCATCAAAGTGGGATATTTGCTCTTCCTCTCGTCAGCTCTAGGACTGCGCATCGAGGGATCCTAAAAACTATTACAATGGCCACAAACTCAAACAACCAATTTTACGTGGTTCGGCAAACTGCCTACGTCCACGGGGCAAGGAGGGGGGATCTACTATTATAGAGAAAAAGAATACAAATGAGTTTACAACTCTCACAATCTAAACCCTCAAATAGGCTCCTTGCTTTTCTTCACAAGAAAAGGTCAGCCACCAAAACTTTTATCTCTCTGCACGAAGCTCTGCACCTTTGCACGCTGCCTCTGCCTTTTTCCACCACCAAATTGTTAGATATTTTGTTAACAAAAGGCATTTTTGCCTTCATGAATTATAATAAATATTGTAATTAAAACATGCAATTAAAATATGTTTTAATGTGTTTTAATTTGTAATTAAAATGGGCATAATGACTATACATTATGACGAACGTTACGAAATTTATTGAGGGATTTTGTAACGGCTCTTTTCAACCCCTATATAAACAACATATGTTGAGCTCAAGAAATATGAAGAAAAATGTGAAAAACTTATCTTGTTTTCTTTTCTCCTCTACATATCATTTTCATCTATACTTTAGTTTTACTTTATGGGCAACTTCTTCATCTGAGCTGAAGCTCTGCACTCTCGCCCGAGTGCAGAGGCCGGGCCGTTTCCGGGGGTTTTTACCGCTAGGGGAGAAGGGATCATCTGCGCCAGGGTTATAGGCGGGTCCTCAATCTTCTAGGGCAGTGTTTACACGACTGCTCCCGTCAGGCCTGTTTCTCTAATTTATATTATCTATATTAAATGTATTATTTATTTAATTTCCGGGTTTAATTTCATGCTATAATCTTTAATTATTTGATAAATTCCCAACAATCTAGAAGATTGAAGAGTTTATAGCTTTGATTTAAATCTGAAATTATTTTAAAGTTATTGTTCATTCGAGATGGTTACTGTTCATCCGAAGTAAAAAAAAAAGTTGTGTATTCTGATTTTGAATCCCCAATAAAAAAATGTTACTGTTCACAAAATGTAACTGTTACTGTTCATTTTAAACAGTTTTCAATGTTTTGAAAAAAAAAGATTATTGTTCATTCATTTTAATGAATGTTACTGTTCATTTTTTAAAAAAGAACGTTACTATTTATTTATTTTTAAGAATGTTAATGCTCATTTATAAAAATGGTGTTACTGTTCATTCTTAAAAAATGGCGTTACTGTTTAATTTTAAAAATGAGTTGAGAACGGCATGTTCATTTTATTTAAAAAGTTACTGTTCATGTAAACAGTTTTGGTTATTTTTTTTAATAAAAAAAAATTAATAATTAAAAAATTGTAGCTAAATATTTCTGTTAATTTAATTTAACAGTTAATTACATTTGTCTTATAGTTGATTTATAATCAATAATTATTGTAAGTTACGAATATCAAAGAACCTTTATTGGTTTCTAAAAGCCTAGTTTATATTTGTTAGAATCATCTAAAACCTACCCTTATTCCCTTGTGCTAGTGAATATGCTCGCATTTGAAACATGCAATAAATTTGTAGCAATGCACATTTTATTCTTAAAAATTTTATATGCATGGTTTTGACAAGAATAAAGAGAACAAACTCTGGATGCATAGATGCTTTGAAATATCTGGATTTGTTCATGGTTTAATACTATTATTTCTTTAAGCTATCAATAATATGGTACCTTCTATTATTAATAATTTCATACTTTGGAGTGCTTATGCATCTAATAAGCTTAGTACAGAAGGTGGTAAAAGTGAATGCAGATTTGTTCAGCAACTTAAGTGGCAGTTGTCTGCAGCAGATGAGTTTTTACTCTCAAGACATGAAAATCATGAGGTTCGAACATCAATAGGTAAACCCCTCCTCGGCCTTATCCAACATATGCTTGCAGTATAATTGCTTAGGCAAATCAAATGCTTGCAGAAAATATTTTAAAGTTTTCTGTTACTGTTAAGAAACAAAAACTCATTGAGTGAACCGATTCAAGTTTTCTTGGATTAGTTGGTGTCTAAGGCAAGGTTTAAGGGTTGCGTAATGCGCTCTGCAAGGAACGAGGTACTTAATTGATCTTTGATCAACCTCTATTACTATCCTTACCTGGCTAACTACCCGGGTAAAACTTTAATCTTTTCACTTTAGGAGTTTTTGGTTTGGAATAAGAGGACCGAAATTATGTGAAAATTCATATACATTTATTTAATTACGCTTCTTGCATCATATATTGCCTAATGATAAATGATCAATATATGAGCGAACAAATCAAAGAGGTGCATTTTTTAAAATTCTATTTTATATGGTGGATTATATTTCAAATCTTTAAATGTAAAGTTCATCTCTTTTATTGCGTTATGATGGATATTGCAATAAATGTTTATATGTCCTTTTAGATAACTTGCATTTGTTACATGATTAATTACAAGGTCTTATGCAAGAATGCACTTGTAAAATTTTAAAGCACGTATGTACAATTATTATTATTATTTGTATAAGAGGTGGTACTAGAAAATGGCAACATAAATTTGAAAGGTCTCATTTGTAGACAACCAATTTAAATTTGGAAGGTCACATTTGTAGGCAACCGATTTAAATTTGGACAGTCTCCTTTGTAGGCAACCAATTTGTAACCTCTTATAATAGAATAATTTAAAAATTTTATGCATTTGAATTATGAAGTATGAAATATATTTTAAGATACGAAATCATATTATGCTCTGCATGTATCTATTATTAATTTCATTCATGCATGTGCATATGCATTACTGCAGAATTTTTAGTTCCACATTAGTTTGAAATGTTCAGATATTAAGGTCAATCTCTTCAGACATAGACTATGATCTTTTATGATCATAGATCATGACCTAATGTCAATTTCAAACAATATGATGGACTAATTACAAAATAAGAACTTGATAAATAAATACAACGCCTGCTAGGCAAAGTTATGATTCTAGACTTTGTAAAGTCTGTGAAAAGAATCTTGATGACCCTTTGACTAAGGGATTATCCAGGAGTGTGGTTCTGGATTCATCGAGGGAGATGGGGTTAAGCCCATAGATGAGGTCACTGACAGCGGCAACCCAACCCTTATTTGGAGACGTAGTCCCAATGTCGGTTCAATGTGGTAGAAACAAGCTGGACTAGTGACACTCGTGTGGAGCATCGACCTAGATATATTTATATATCATTATGTAGCATTTGCTACTACCCCTTCTCTATGATGACGATGCTCTTATGATACAGCTGGCTAGGCTGAGTTTTACTCTTAATAAGTCCAACGCGTGTATTGTGGGGGGTATTAAATAAACAGCTGTAGTACCCTTTGAGGACTTACCTACGTGAGAGGAACCGTGATGGCCGCGGTTAGGGGGGGCTGGGCTAACCCTTAGAAACTCTCATGAGTCGGTTTATTGTGAGCATGGCCTTTAACGCTCAATCCGCTTTGCTCAATAGATGAAGCGTATTGTGTGTGTTTTCATCAATACCTGATTAAAGGGGCCTAATTCAAGGCATAGTCCATTATGTCCCTCAGGTGGCGATGAACTCACTAAGGAAAGGTTCAAAGCCGAAAGCTACCTCTCCCGAATTCACGATACGAAAGGTTGCCCAACCTATTTTCATTTTGTGATTTATTAATTTATTTATTGATTTTTAAGTTTTCAGTCAATATTGCCTTTTGGGGGGGACTGTTAGATATTTTGTTAAGAAAAGACAATTTTGCCTTCATGAATAATAATAAATTTTTGTAATTAAAACATGTTTTAATTAGCAATTAAAAATATGTGTAACGGCCATATAATTATGGGGAACGTTACAAAATTTATGACGAACGTTACGGAATTAATTACGGGTTTTGTAACGTCTTTTCCAACCCTATATATATATATCCATATGTTGAGCTCAAAAGATATAAGAAAAATATACAACAAGTTTCTCTTGTTTTTCTTCTCTCCCCTACATATTATTTTCATCTACATTTTAGTTTTTTATGGGCAACTTCATTCATCTGAGCTGAAGCTCTGCACTCTCGCCCGAGTGCAGAGGCCGGGCCGTTTCCGGGGGTTTTTACCGCTAGGGGAGAAGGGATCATCTGCGCCAGGGCGATAGGCGGGTCCTCAATCTTCTAGGGCAGTGTTTACACGACTGCTCCCGTCAGGCCTGTTTCTCTAATTTATATTATCTATATTAAATGTATTATTTATTTAATTTTCGGGTTTAATTTCATGCTATAATCTTTAATTATTTGATAAATTCCCAACACAAATTCTGCGCAGCAGTACCCAAGCACGTCCCCTGCCTTTACACAGCAGTCCGCACCCTTTTTGCACTTCGTAGCCGCCAGCTAAAAAAACTCCTTCGCTCTCTGCCACTTGCTGCAGCCGCCAACTTTGCTTCTTTCTGCACTCTCTCCTGCAGCCGAAACAAAGACCCACCTTGCTGCTTGCCACCGAAAACCCTAGGCAACCTTAGGATATTAATAGGCATGAATGGTCAATCGGGTGGGCCGTGTCCAAAAAACAAAGCTAATCACAAGTTTCCCTCAAAAAACCGCTGGCTATGTTCAATTCTCCAAAGCTTGTGGCCCCCACTTGCTTTTGAAACAAATTATCTCTTCACGTGATGGCTATCTCTTCACATGTACCCTTTGTACTCTCCCACTATCCAACAAGACTAATCTGTTCTTGCAGAGATGAATACATATCTGAGACGGCGTCAAGTAGAAACGTATCTGCCCTATGTGCTGCAATGAATGAAATAGAAATAGGATGGCTATCATGCTTCCCCAGTGGAACAACAACCTGTCGAAACAAATGTAACTAGATATATGTCATATACCCTAGAGAAGTAGCTAAATGGATA